ACCATAGGGATTTTGTTGTTGCTGCTGTTGTTGTTTTTGTTTTTTAAGAATCATTTGACTTAGTATTGGTATTTTTACCTTCACATTTGGATTGCCTTGTGAGTAGTTCATTTGAAATTCATGCATTGTAAGGTCCTATTCTATTCTTCAGGTTACACTCTGTAGAAGAGTTCCATGGGTTCACCAGGTAATAATAAATAGATGTAGGAACAGGAAGCACACTCAGGAGACCAGCTTGAAAGAAAGCATGTTGCAACAAGGAAAGAAAGCATTCTGAGACTCGTAATGTGCATCTCCCCAAAGGAGACAAAGGAATTTGACCGGACAATGTGTGCACGAAAGCTGAAGAGTACTCAGTGAATATAGCGGGAGCCTATTCCTGCTCCAGTCGCCATGACAGCATGCTACTTCATGTGTTGGCATGCACAAGGTTGGCAGAATGCCTCAACTGTGGAGAATTTACCATTATAACAAGATTATAGTAAGCAAAAATCACTCTACATCACGTAGAAGAGGGAGTTGGCAAATGTGGCTGGTTTAAAGCAGCTCTTTGCCATCTTCTCTAGAGGGTCTTATCTGAAAGCAAACAAAAAACAACAGTAAGAGCTTGAATGTTAGCAGTTATCATGGCAGGCAGCCCCCCTCCCCATCCCACCCAGCCACCAGCACAGGTGCATAACCCTTTAATAGCCTACTTAACATGGTTGAAGAGAAGGCTTAGCTAGTAAGAGTACTGCTCTTGCAGAAGACCCAGGTTGGTTCCTAACACCCATATGTCGGGTGGCTGACAACCTCCCGTCACTCTGGTTCCAGGCAACCTGACGTGCTCCTCCTTGCCTCTGCCTTTCCCCTCACATTTGTGGTGCACATTCATGCTTGCAGGCAGAACACTCAAGCCACATAAAATAAAAAATAATAAAAACTTGAAGAAAAGATCCTAGCTAGCAGCTAATGTTATGAGTAGACTAATTCCAGCCAGGTCTTTTGAGAGGCTTGAAGCAAAGATGTTTTTACGTGAATAACGCTTATGTCAAGAGGAAAATCACATCACCCATTACACTAGTACAAGGGCCATGAGCTGTGCAGTCAGAGAAGCCAGCTCTAGTCTGTCAGCCTAAGCAAATGACTCATTCACTCTAAAGCTTGGTTCTTCAGGTGAGTTTAGCATAACATGCAGCAAATGTGAACGTTACCTAAGGTTCCTCAGTTATGGGGAAGCAGCCTGTTAAACTTAGCTCGATCTTTCTCCGTACAAATGAGAGCACTTGTCCCAAGGCCAGAGCACTCACGTGGTTTCTCCTCTGCATAACTGGCACCGAGGATTAGGTAAATTGTCCCTGGGTTAATCCTGAGCCTTCCAGCCTGTCCTGTCAACCCAGAATACTTCAGAGAATAACTTCTAAATCCCACCCCCACCCCGGGGAAAAATACAAATAATTTATACGGTTGTAGCATTCAACCGCCTCAGAGTCAGATATGGTAGAGTGTCAGTGGATATTGGTGGGGAATTTATCTGTCTTTGCTACTGTCCTATTGCTGTGAAGAGACATCATGACCAAGGCAGCTCTTCTAAAAGAAAGCCTTTAACTGGGGGCTAGCTTACAGTTGTAGACATTTAGTCCCTTATCACCATGGCAGATAGCAGGGAGATGCAGGCAGGCACTGGAGCAGCTGAGAGTTCTGCATCGTGGTCTGTAGGCAGAGAAAGACAGACTCTGGACTTGGGATGGGCTCTTGAAACCTCAGTGCTCCCCCTCAGTGACAAACTTCCTCAAACAAGGCCACTCCTCTCCTCATAATCCTTTTAATCCTTTCAAATGGTGCCACTCCCTGGTGACTAAGCACTCAAATATATGAGTCTATGTCTTTCTCAGGACAATGAAAAGTTTGCTACCTGCATCATCCTTCCTATAATTTATCATGAGTAAGTTATTTATTAGACTGACAAGTTAACATATGTTCTGTATCTCCCACTCACTAATAAGCTTTGCATGAATTAACTAGCTGAGTGTTTTCCATGGATCTGCTAGCCTATTAGATTGACATTCCACTATGAATGGGTATCTGCACCAGCTCTCAGTTTTGCATTCGCCGTACGTGCATGCATTGTTCTATGTAATTGTCACAGTGTTCCCGGTGAAGTAATATTGAAAATGAAAGAAGTGGGAAGCCAGTTTCTGCAAATCTCAGTGGGGTAGCATACACAGACATTGATTTCTTTTCAAAAAAGAATCCTTTCAGAAGTCAGCATTTCTGGAAAGAAGTAAGTCAGTTGACAACATTTATCATTAGTGTGACATACTGTCAGAGAGGGGGACACGCAGAAAGGGGGACCCTTCTGAAGAGCAGTCAGAAATAATTAGAGGTTTTGATGTATTCATACTTTATATTTTATTTAACAATGTCGTGACATTTTATGTTCAATGATTTAAATTTAGATTCAGCTTCTTTTTCTATTAGAATATATCTCTAATATGTATTCGATGAATTTTTATGTTACTGTACAAATCTCCCCATTGTTATAGCAATTCCATAATATTTAGCTTACAATCATAGAATAGTAATGCAAACAGTTAGATCAGAGCACATTACAAACCTCTGAAAATAAACTTGCAGAAGTTATTCCCTCTGAATATTTTACATGGTATACACTGTACATGGCCATAGCCCTTACATTATGTTTTCTTCAAGAAATTCTATATGGAAAAGAAGCTTTAATGTATTTTATAATTTTATCTTTACCAATTTATTGTCCATACAGAGTACAAAACAAAAATGTTTTGAAAAGTCCCTTTTCCCAGTAACTTTACCCCTATTGCCAAAGAACTGGTACGTTAAATTACACCTAAGTGGCACCTTTTAAGGTCACTACAGTTGCGAACCACCATGCCACCATACCCTTCTGGCTGACAGTCTGCTTTTCAAGGTGCAAATTGTGGTTCTCTGTAGATTATGATATTTGAATGGGTTTGGAAATTTAGATAGCTTTTTTTCCCCAAAGAAATCTAACAAAACAGAAAGAGTTGTTGTTGTTGTTGTTGTTGTTGTTGTTTACAGTGAGTCAGGGCCTCAGACTGCCTATATCTCTGAGCCTAGATGACATACATTTACTGACAGGGGTGTCCCGACTTTGTCCTTGATGACACATACCCATGGCTTTAGTATTTCTCCACTCAGTCCAGCTGCTTCACCAAGATGCCCCTGTGTCAGATTGAGTTACTAGGAAGATTGCCACAGGAATGCAGGAAACAGTTGGTTCAGCATTCATAGAATATGTCACATACTCAGGACTTGGCTGGTTTTGTTACATTGTGCTTTGTATGAAAAACACAACTCCCTGGATATTTGTTGAGACCTAGCTACATTTTCTGCTGTCTCTTTATGTGGTGTGAAGATCTTCCTAAAGTTTCCTGGTTGGGGTAGACAGAGGCAGAAATGAGACCCAGGGTTGTGTCTCCCTTTTCGTCTCAAGGTCCTTCCTCAAAAGCGCAGGACTAAGCAAAAGGAAAGTGGGGGGAGGCTGGGGAAGCAGGGGCACATAGGGGACTTTCCCCGCTGCTTTTCTAATCCCCAGTTCCAAGGCTCAGTCGATATTTCAACATTTTAGATATAAAACTTGCTTTTGCAATCAATGCAAATATTACTCAGTGATTCATCCTTTCCAAGTGACTCTTGGTTTCTTCTAACATTTTAGTTTAAAATTATAAATTAGCATTTACATCATGCTAGAGCTGCTATTACCTTTCAACACCTCAGTAATGACCAAAGCTTTCTACGTCAAGATTCTAAGTCACCCAAGTGGTCCTTGAGCTTCTTGAGTATCTTACAGAGTTAAGTTCTTAGACACACATAATCTAGAAACCTTAGGAGAGGGGTGTTCCTGATGACAAGCTTCCAAGTTTGGTGGTTTCTCAAGTGTTTAAGGTGGGGCCATCTTCATTAGGGCTTTGTCTAGGGTATGGACCAAGAGGATACGCTTCCATTTGTTGAGTGATATGGTTGGAGCTGAATCTTCCAAGTTGGAATGAGACTTCTTTTTGTTAAACCCCTACACTCAAAGTTCTACAAAACTGTCCAGTTTTTAAGATTAAAGTATAACTACATAATTTCTCCCTTTCCTTGCCTCCAGGTTCTTCCATGTATCTCTCTTTTTCTCTTTCAAAACTTCATGGCCTCTTTTTCTTTTACATATTTCTTTTTCTTTTAAAATTGATTATATATATATTTTTTCTAAGTACAAAAAAATCAATCTGCTCCATCTGTATAACATTACTTGTTTGAATGTTCCCATTGGCATTGAATAACCAATCAGTGTGCACTTTGCTGGAGAAGACAGTCTCTCCTGCTCTCAGCCTTCCATAGTGCCTGTAGTTCTTAGTCTAGGGTTGAGACCTCCTGAGCTATCTCCCTTTCACATTAGCATGTCTGTTTGTGCCAGCCTTGTTAAGGTATACACAGAATCAATGACGTAAAGGTACTAAATGAGTTTGGACAGTTTAATAAGGCAGTAATGCCGCCTCCTCCTTAGGAGATTGTCTTCAGATTGTTAGGAAAGAATATCATCACCCCAGTTAATGGAAAACAGAGAGCCATCAGGATGGTGTCAAACACTGCGGAAATTAGTATCCAAAGTCATCTACCAGGCAATGGAAGAACCCTGGTATTTTCAATTATTTCATATCCTTCTATATCAAGTCAAAATTCCCCTGTTTTAACTATTTGTCTGAATAGAAATATGATTAGTTGCAGCTACTTGGAGAGTTTTGTTTTGCTTGTTTGTTTTTGTTTTAAGGCAAGACTCTCACTGTGTAGCCCTGGAACTCACCATGTAGATCAGGTTAACCTCTACCGCAAAGACATCTACTTGCCCCTGCCTCCAAAATGCTGAGATTAAAGGCATGTGCCACTACACCCAGCACATGTTTTCTTTTTAAATATGTATATGTAAATTATGTGTTTGTGTGTGCCTGAATAAGTTTATGTGTACTTTATGTGTGCAGGTACCCTCAGAGGCCAGAAGAGGGTGTCGGATCCCTTGTAGCTAGAGTTTGAGGATCGTGAGCTGCCCCATGTAAGTACTGGGAACTGAATCTGGGTCTTCTGCAGAAGTACTAAGCCCTCTTAACTGTTGAGCCAGCTCTCCAGCTTGTGTTTAAACATTTTCAAGGGTTTCTTATTTTAAACCACCCCGCTTCCCTGCACAAACCTTTGTGAACTTGTTCCAAAGGACTTACAGCTACTACTTTTCCTTTAGTTGCAGCTGGCCCTGCTCCGTGTGCCCCGGGAGTGCTCCGGAGGCTCCATTGCATACCGTTAGTCACATGGTGTGATAGCACAAAGCTTTTCACTGGAAGTGAAGCCTCGAGTTATGAGAATGTTATGACATGTTCTCATTAGTGTGAGATAGACTTTTGATGGAGACAAGACAGTATGTCGGATTGGGGGGAAAACAGACTCCTTTCTTACAAGATGGGCACAACAGCCCCATTCTGTAATCCTGAGTCCATTCCCTCATGTCATAGAAGCCAGGGCTTTTCTATATTTGAGTTTTATCCAGCATGGAGTATGGTTTCAAGGTATAAATACATGGGTCTGTATGTTTATTAGGGTCTCTAGGTGACTGAAGATTGCTGAGGCTGGTTATATTAATAGCTTGCCAAGTTCAATAAATTTGAGATTTTCAGGTTATGGTAACTAAGGCAGAATGACTTTCACCGGTCCTCACAAGAGGTTGGAGAGCAGCATTCTGTGCCGATTCCAGTGTTATGTAAAACAGTATAAGCACTTCCTCAGCCTCTCAACCAAGTCTAGACAGTTCTAAGATCATCTCAGAGTTCATGAGGAAAAAAAATACACAAAAGGGATAAAACTGTAAACTGTTGATAGACGACTATAGTAAGTAGAAATAGCCAGAAGACTCCATCTGGACCTGATTTTTTACACAAAAGTAGGACCAGCTATATCAGACTGAGGACACTGTGAGCTTAGCAAGAGGGTTTAGATTCTGCCATCTCCCTGCTATGAGAGTTAGGTGCCACGGAGGTACTGCACACATGATGCCCTCCTTCCGAGGTTTTTTTGTTTTTTGGTTTTGTTTTGCAGACATTTGTGGTCCTGGTAGAAAGACAGCCTAGCCCTGCATATGTGCCATGGTTATGGGATCGTTAAGGTTTACTCCAGTGTTACAGTTTTGATTTCCTTTGTTCTGTTTTGTACAGCTTCAACATGGCGGATGATGATCCCTACGGAACTGGACAAGTAAGTCCTCATCTCAGCAGCAACTTTGCTTAAATGCATTCTTATTCCAAATACACAGAGGCAACACCAGTAACTCACTATCAAGCTGACACTAAATTAGAAAATACTGCTCTAATTTTTTTCTTCAGTTTTTCTGTTATTCCAGGGTTGGAGAGGGCCCTTTCGTATGTGTTTTTGCATGAAACTATATATTACAGGCCAGAAAATAGCCACTGAGTCAGTAGTGGTGGTGCAGGCCTGACCCTAGTGTTCTATATGGTGACTGGTATATAAACAAAGATTGCTACTCAGTGAGATTTCTAAGGCTGCTATTAACATCGCTACAAACATGTTGACTTAGAGAAGTGTATCCTTTCATAGGACTGGAGGCAAGAACTCAGAATTGGGGGCTGGCAGGATGATTCCCGCCTCATATAGCTCCTGGGTGTGTTGAGAGATCCTTGGCATCACACCAGTCAGAGTCTGTTGTTGCCTGGCTTTCCTCCACATCTTCACACACAACATCTCCTCTCTCTTATAAACACATCACTCTTAGGATGGCAGGTCCACCTCCATAGTGTGAATTCATCTTAACTTATCTATAAAGGCAAAGGCTGTGTGTCCGAATAAGGTCACATGAAGGAGGAGTATTTATGAATTCTGAGTATATTTTTTCAAAGGTACTGTGGTTAAGCCCACTGCAGTCAAAGGTACTGTGGTTAAGTCCACTGCAGTCAAAGGT